ATGTAACTATTCTTGTACAGAGGTGGGGAAAGAAATTGTCATCTACTAAACTGGGTATTTCTGCTCACTTTATTCATTTTTCTCAATGTATATAAATATATCTGAGTAGCTTTTCAATAAGGAAACTAAATTAATGTTGCACCCAATCTTATGCATGTATATCCTCTAATGTTAACAAGGCTGTTGGCTGTAGCCTTGTTAAACTACAAATTCCTTAAGAATAAGTAGTCACTTGCCATCTAATGATATTTTCATCAATAATGGACCGAGTATATGATAGTTGTCCCATCAGAGTGTAATGGAGTAAAAAAAATCTCTGCCACCCGGTGACACAGCAGTCATGGGATGGCTGGTGCAGCATGTTACTCACATGTCTGTGGGGGTGCTAGGAGAGAAAACCTATGGCACTGCCGGTCATATGAAGTTAAGTGCATAGAATTCTGTACAGCCCCTACCTCTTGATGTGAGAATAGATGACTGTGTGGCTAGCTTACAGATTTGCAATACTGTATTTTATTGTTCCTTTAGAGAGTACTCTGTCCACTTACTCAAAACATCTTGCTGTAAACAGTTCCCATGATACACCATCAGGACTCCCACATGTCTCCTGTTGATGTGTCTTGACAGTCTCACTGAAGGATTGACCTGTATCACCCGTGTTTGAATAGAGTCTATGATGTCTGCACAGTGATGAAGTTATAGTAAAGACACACTTCTCTGGATGCATTTTTTCATTAAGTAATGCATGACATTAAAAAGTTTGGTGTGTCTATTTTATCTCTTTGGCATTAGTCAATCCATTTTTATTATATACTAGCTACCATGTCAGGTCCTGGAGGCTCAAAAATTAATAGAACCCAGGGGTCCTCTCCCACTGAACTATATTCCCAGTCCTTTTTGATTATTATTTTACTGAGGCAGGGTCTTACTAATTTTCTCATGCTGCTCTCGAACTTGCAATCTTCCTCTCTCAGCCTCCCAAGTAGTTGGAATTACAGGCACATGCCATTATGCCTGGAATTTTTTGATACTTGAAGTACCTGTTAATGAAATGTCCTATTTATATGTTATGTTTCTAATGTGAATGCAATTCTTGTTTAGAAGAAAGTCTCTTCATAGAAGGTCATCATTAACTTGTGAATTATTCATGTGAGCTACAGTATATAGATAATGTTGTCACATTGACCTATGCCTTAGAAATAAGAGGGAATTAATAGTAAAGTTATTCTTATAATAGTCTAAAAATACGTTGTAAAGTTTAATCCTTAAGTAGTTTTGAAATGCACATACATGTCATTATATATATCAATATATTATACATAAATGTTTATTATTTAAAATAATGTTAATATATAATTACATTATTGAAAATTGAAATATTAAAAATCACAATCTTGCCACGCTGACACAAATCCACTTAGTTTTGATATATTTTTCTTTCAGCATTTTATAAATCATATTATGTTGCTTTTAAGTCAAAAGAAAATCTATAAAACTAAGAAGAAAAGACTCCACAAATGAATGATGCCTTTCTCTGATGACCCAGTACTGGAATAAAAAGAAAAGGAACCCGGCAGCACGTCCGTGCTGAGTGTAAGGGCTGAGAGGCTGCCGTGTGCAGTCTGTCCAGCGGAAGCCAAGGTCGTGCTTTCCACCCCGCTCTCTGACAGCTCCCGGTGATGGAAAGGTCATGCGGCCCTCGGGGCCTCTGCAAGTCACTGGAGCTCTTCCAACCTCAGTTTCCTCATTTGTAAGAAGAGAGGAAACAGAACATGGTTCTTTGTTGTCCTTCTTTTTTATTTTTTACGAAGAACTCCAAAGCCTTCCATTGGGTGGGTGGCATGGTGAGTGTTATTGGAGCCAGGAAATGATTGAAGGCGACAAAGAAACTAACATTACTGGCTCTGTTCTTTACATCAGTGATCCTGGTCTCACAGTCACAATTCTGAATTTTTAGTAATTTTATTTGTAAAATGTTTTTATTAGTACGTGTTACAGTATAGTGTTCACATTCCTCGTGGAGAGCTGGTACACATACACAGTACAGTTTAACTCCTTGTCTCATTCCTTTTCCTCCCCTCCCACCCCCTTCTCCTCCACCTCTTGATTACTTTCTCATCTGAGAAAGATCTATTTCCCTACCTCCTGTTATCTTTTATTTTGCTCTTTGTTTATATCTGGGTTTCTCATGTAAGAGAAACCATGTGGTATTTAAGCCTGTGTGTCTGATTTACTTCACTTAACTTTATGGTTTCCGGGTGCACCCATTTTCCTACAAATGACTCGTTTATCCTTCTTCGTGGCAGAGTAGTACTCCACTGCGTGTACATACCACACTTGAACATTCATGAGGATGGACATGGAGGCTGCTTCCAAGATAGAGCCATTGTGAATTGTGCTGCTATAAACATAGGCGTGCATATATATCTGTAATACGGTTTTTACTCTTTCAGAAAGATACCTAGAAGGGAATAGTTGGGTCAAACAGAATTTCTCATTTTAATTTGTCTTTGACTTTGTGATTTGTAAATGAAGTTGTCTATGACAACGGAGCAAGAGCTGGGGTGTCTCTACCACTCCAGGTGCGCTCTTGGCTGCCAACTGTGCACCTTTCCACCTGGCAACCTCAGCAGCCGCTCTGTAGGACTGGCTAGTACCAGTGCCCCAACCCTCAGCTCCAGCCAGACCAGGGCTCTGAAGGCGGCCTTGCATTCCCTGGGACGTCTCAGAGCAGGGCACGGTGCCCTGCAGGGGTGAGGGCAGTCATGCTATCTAATGAACACAACCTATTGACCAGAGGTTGGAGTCAGGCTTAAAGGACGGCTCCACAGGCCTGCCAGCAACCGAAGCATGGCGTGCTGGTCAGCTGGCTGTCAGGCGAAAAATCTGGCACCTGAGTGGGGGCAGGCAGGTGCGCACATCACAGGTGAGCCTGGTTCCTTGCGAGCCCCTGCTCTAGCAGTGCGAGTGGGTGTCTGGTTCCTGCGGCAGTGCAGCCTTAAATCCTGAGTCCAGACTGTCCTGAGAGCATGGGGAAGAAAGGTAAATGCTTTGTCTTTTCATATTTTAGGTTCACTTTTTACCTGCTTTTGGAACCCTGGATTTCATATTTTAATTTTGCATTGATCTCTGCAAATTCCTTAGCCCATCCGTGTGTCGAGATGTGCCTTTGGTGGCAGAAAGATTAAAGGAGGTCAGGGTGGTCAACATGGAACAGAGGGTTTGGTTCCTGATGGGTCTCTTGTAAGTACCAGGAGACGACAGGAAGTAAGTCATGGGCTGCAGAATAGAAAAATAGTAAAAGAAAAATTCAAGCAGGGAGAGAAAATCCACCAAAGCCCTGGAGAACAATCTCTCCACTCTGCTGTTTCTTTTTTGCCCCTCTGTTTTCGCCCATTTCTTCCTTTGGCACTACTTGTTGGAATACTTAAATCATCAGGTTTTGACATCAGTGTTTAGAAAGTGTTCTGGCCATGGAGGAGGCCGTTTCTAAGAGGTCTACAGAAGCATTTGGACACATCAGTTGCTCAACTGCAGTGCTCCATGGATCGTGGTCACTGGAGCAGTCGTTTGCTAGCAGCTAAAAAGTAGACCTGTGGCAGGTTCAGCTGGAACCTGGCTAACTGAGCTCCAGCAGCTTACCTGCGCGTTTCTCAGGGAGATGTTTCTCTCTGTCTCTATCTCTACCCCTCTTTCCTTCTTTGTAGCCATCGTAGCATCCTGGAACTTTAAAATGTAGTCTTTTTTACTCTAGAGACAAGTGGCTTCCTTACCTGTGCCCATGTCCTCCCATCTCAGCCTCGATAATATGCAGGTGCTGGCTCTAGGAGGTCGGGGTTAAGAGCTATGAAACAAATCTCAGTGCCTGTTATCTCCTCGTGCTGCCCTTTCCCACGCTCCTTGCTAGGAACGACCCTAATACACCTGCGCAGTGAGGGGCTGATTTCTAGTGAGGGCCCTCTATGGGAGCAAACTTGGAATAAATCCTTTTTACTAAAATAAACGGCCTCTGATTTGGCAAAGGGACCTGAGTATATGAACCTAAGCGACTGTTAACAGGTTTGGCTACCGAGTGGTGCAGGGCTCCAGATTGGCAGGCACTTAGGAAAAGGGACTGACTGACTGCTTATTGCTAGCAGAATTCATGTTTGGGGCTCAAGGAACATTTCAGCTGCTGCCAAGGACACTTCCACACCATTCACACCTGTAGTCCCAGCACTCTGGGGTGCAGAAGTAGAAGGATGACAAGCTGTGCCTAGTTTGGAAAACTTAGCAAAATAACGAGAGGCTGTCTCAAAATCACATAATAAAATGTATGGGGAGCTGGGATGTATCTCCATGAGGAGGCTCTGGGTTCAATCCTTAGTACTCTACAGGGGGAAAATAAATCCTTTGGAAAGAAAAATGCTCTGCCTATATTTGAGTATTAAGAATATCAGTTTAACTAAAAAGAGTTTACACAGCTTGTTGAGAAACATTTTCCAGAAAATGAAGCCTCTATTTTCTCTTATCTCATCTATACCTTTGCTACTAACTCCTGAGCAACAAAACTGAGAAATCTTATAAAGTGTTACGGCCAATAAAACAGTTCATGAATGTAATCTGTTTGGTCTGGGGAAATCTATTTTTATCCATTACATGGTACAGGGAGTGCACTGTACTTTCTTCCAAGTAACTTTTGGAAGATATCTGGCAGAATTATTCAGTATGACTAGCAGTTATTTTCTGGAGACGGGTATTGTTTTGACATGGCGAGCACTGGAAACATATGCTCTTGCATGTCTCTCGCCCTGTGCTTGCCTTGAAAATGTTTATATTTGCTTGTGATAAAATGCATTAAGTTTCATAATCCCGAACAACCTTCTGGTACACAGATCCACTTTCAAACAGCGCAACTGGGGAAACAGAAGTTTTTAACCAAAAAAAAAATTTTTTTTTTTCTTAAGTAGCTATGCATTTTGTATAACACAGGTGCCAATTTTATTTTTTTTTCTTTTAAGTGTTCGGATTCCAAAGCAACTGCTAGGATAAATAATACTGCATCCCACCTCCTCCCCCAAAGAGCGTGTCTTCTTCCAGAGTCCATGTAAGTTGAGCCAGGATTTAGGGGCCCATCAGTGGTGGGGAAACATGGGCTCATTTCACCGCACAGTGTGGTTCCAGAGTGGTTAGTGACCCTGGTGCTTAGGATGAGTTTCATGCTCACGTTGTGGAAAGAGATGGCACCACTGAAATGGTTTTCTTAATGCAAAGTTTCTAGGAAAGTACATTTGCTTTATATACTAACCCTAACCTACTAGGTGCTCTTTGTAATTCTTTATGCCCAGAGTCAGTACTCTTTATCCTTAGCAATTGTCATATTTGAATCGAGAGTAAAGCAGTTAATTTTGGCTATGCTCGTTAACATGAAAATCCAAAGTGAATTCTGACAACATATAAATGTGTAAATGTAAAAAAAAGGAGACCATTTCAAGTATATTGAAATCAAATTTGTAGGTAGCGTACTAGTAAAATAATTCAGTATGCCAGGTCAAGCTTTTGACTTATTATATGCATTATAATTTAATAGGCTATGCCATCTTTTTAGGTCCTATATAAACACTTAATTTCTCTTTGTTTCAGTTGTTGGCAATCATAGTTTAAAATGCTGGACTATGCTAAATGTAGTCATATCAAACTGGTGGAATCTTCTATTCAAGACTAGAATTCTAAAACCCGATTCTGAGATTGGAAAATACTTAGTATACTCCGGGTTGAAAGTCTGCAATTTTTCTTCTCAAAACTGTGTTACACCACACACACACACACACACACACACACACACACACACACATATATGTGTGTATATAATATATATATATTCAAAAATGTTTTGATTTCTGAATTACTGGAGTTGTGTCTCTTTTAAAGACTATCAGCATAGCAAAGATTCAAAGAGAGAGTCTCTGCTACAAAATTTATGGCAATGCCAATCAAAATATCATTGTAGAGATGGGGATATAGTTCAGCACAAGTGCCTATCTGGCAAGCAAAAGGTCCTGAGTTTGACTCCCAATACCAAATAAAGTAAAATAAGTTAAAAATCAGTATAATTATAATGCTTACTCATTTTATAATGTGGTACACCGAGCCAAGTTTCCAGAAAAATAATTTAATCTTTATTTGAGGTATTAAAGGCAAAAATAGCTTGACTCTAAGCCCTTTGGAATTTATTCAATATTTAAATTGTTATAAGTGATTCAATCTGTTCACTACTTTTGGGTTTTTCAAATAGTGTCCACCTGTTTTAAATTGAAAAGCCAGGAAAGAATACATTGTTAGAACATTTGCCAGTTGCACTATTAAGTACTTTCTGGAGGTTGTTGTTTTTTTTTAAAGAAAGATGAGCGTGCATTCAGTGGTTGTTTTAAGAAGATAGTAATAGCAACATAGACGTGGTCAGCTTAAAGTTGTAAGAGAACTCTTGTATGGAGACGGTGAGATGTGAACTCCAAAAAGCTTGTGTGGCTCTGCCCCTACAGTATTGTCAGTTGTTACAGATTTCATGATTTCTCCACTAAGCTAGCTTTGTTCACTCTTCGTTGTTTTACGTTAGTCAGACATTCCATGTTTTGGCTTTTACAACTTTCTGTATCTCCACCGCACCGAGGGCTTAACTCTCATGGCTTCACGGGCTGCTTTCCCAGGGCACTCTGTTTGGCCTCCTATGCACTCATGTTAAATCTGTGGAAACCTTCCTGACCCCACAGTTCTTGCATTCTGCATGCTGTTAAACCCGCAACACATGGATGATGCCAAGGTCTGCCACCAGCTGAGAGAGTAGCCAGATGCCCTTGACTACAGGGATCTATGAGTGTCTGGATGACAGCCCTGGGACCTGAATCCCAGCAAATTAACACCCTACATGGCCATTCCCCTTCTCAAGCAGGGTATGCTGCTTTCACTTTAGCAAATTTGAGCCTGTAAAGGGTGGAGTCCTGCTAGTTACTGTAATGCCCTCAAGCCATCATTTATATGGCTGCTTTTTAATGCTTGCTTTTTCTTTATTTTCTTTTTAGCAACCAAGCTCTTTTCTGTTTAATCTTTTCAGGCCCCAAATCTACTGAAGTTCCCTTCTGGCTGAATTTAAAATTTTGATTTTGTACTTGCCAAGAGAAGGGAAGGAAGGTTTTTTGTATTCAAACATTTTAAATTTAGAAACTGTAGCCCATATACTTGTTATCAAAAGTAGGTGAATACAATATCCTTCTTCCTCATAGCCCAAATATTTACATAGTAGCTTGAGAACCTTCTTTATTATTACTGAATATGGCGTGAAATCTGCTTATTTCCAGGAGGAAAAACGTCTCCATACAAGATCATCTGGAAAATTGATCCAACTGGGGTGAGGTGCTTATTCCATCTACAATAAACAGATTTGCACATTTTTATTCTTATTCAGAGCCCTTTAATTCCTCTGTCGGATACCACATAGTGGCTTCAATCTTCAGTGTTGCTGTTCTGAACTTGAAATTTTTCAGTTATACTACATCAAACCCTAAACTATTGGTTAGGTAAGAGGCAATCAGGCTGTGATATTATAAATAAATGGTCACAAAGTACACTAAGAACGTAGGCATGCCTACTGGAAAGTGTTCAGCCCCAGGTATATCGTTATTGATGAATGATAAGTGATTTGACACATGTATATCCCTACATTGCTACTTAAATATAAACCTAGTGTATCAATTCATTAGCTTTCATATATAGAAAACCATAGTTTTTTTTCCTACTGATAGTTAAGACTGAGGCTTTAATTAAGAGAATTAAGAGAAACTTCACTTAAGTCTTGACCCAAAAGTGCATTCTAATGACCAAAGATATAGTTCTGTTTACACTTAGGATAATAAAACATCCAAAGACTATTAAAATAGTGCTTTAAAATGATCATTAAAAGATGCAAAGACATTTGAAAGCTAAACATTCATTTCTTTAGTGTGATTATTTTTATTTCTTCTCATTTTCTAGTTTCTGCCTAATCTGCAAATACATTTTGCCTGTATAATGTTTTAAAAGTTAATTTTTCGAGCTGCTATTTTATGTTGATTATTTCCTAACCCAAATGAAATGGTTATCTTAGATCCTACTTGACTATTACATCTTTTAATAGAAAGATCTAGGGCCGGGGGTTTAGCTCAGTGACACAAGCACCTGCCTAGCAAGTATGAGGTCCTGAATTTGATCCCTTATACCAAAACAAAAATGTGATTTAGAAATACAATGGGATTTTCAAATGTATATTCTAAGGTATTTAATTTTTTGAGGGATCAATAAAATGGTAAGAAAATCATACATCATTGATTACAGGCTCACATTATAAATAAAGGCTTTTAGTTTAATAGTAGATGATTATTTGCTGATGCTAGAAACCCATTCCTAAATGAGTATACAGGATCAAGATCCATATGAGTGCTGAAGAAATACTGCAAAGCATTGATCTATTTTCAAATGGTTTGATTTATGTTCATGAAATATCTTTTAAGAATTGACATTGGTGACTTATAAGCCAGTAATATATGGTCCAGAAAGTTTCCTGAGGGAATGTGGAGAAATCTCCAAAGTGAACAGATGGGCAGGACCATCTTACTTGCTTGTTAGCTGTCAATATATTGCATAGTAGTTAAGTTCAGTGCATTTTGTTAAGTAGGTTTATGGGATATATATAATATATATGTGTATATATAGTTTTGTTTTTATTTTTTTATTTTTATCTTTTTGAGGCAGGGTCTTACTATACAGATCAGGCTGCCTTGAACTCGCTTTGTAGCCCAGGCTGGCCTCAAAATTTCAGTGATCCTTCTGCCTCAGCCTCCTGAATGCTGAGATTATTGCTGAGATTAGGTGTATGCCGCCATACCTGGCCCATGGATTACATTTTTAATAAAAAATTTATTCTTACAAAATGTCCACATATCTTAAAAAGAACAAAGGATGATGCTAATACTGTGTTGGAGCCATTGAAGCGAATACACGTGCAGGGCTGTGGTGTGGCCTGGGCATGGCTGAACTGACATGAGGAGCACTTCACGGGGCAGGATAGGCCACAGCTGAGGCCACCTGGAGACTCTATGGATAGTTTTCCTTAATTAGCATTGTCTGTTCCTCTCAGGGGGTCCTTGAACCCCTCCCAAGCTCCTGCTGGATTTCCTGTGTTTTCCACTTAACTGCTTGCTTGTTCTGATTAAATACCAGCTGCCCAGGGTCAGTCACAGACTGGCTAGCAGAGTTAGGAGCTCTGCAGAGGATTTTAGTCCTCTGGGAGCCCTAAAGATCATGCCACTTGTCTCATTTCCTTGGGCCTTCACTGTGCACCAATTTGGGGGACTGGAGATCTAGGCCCAGACCCTAACAATACTGATAACACAAACCTAGCAAATTTTAACAGACAAAAATTCCTTTGCACAATTGGAAGTTGATAAAGAGAAGTATCTTGATTTGTATTTTGTTATATATTCAGCAGAATTTTTCACTCTTAATAGCTCCTTTCTGCACTCTTGTAAACCCTCCCTTTCCCTTAAACCTCAGTGTGAAGTGGGAAAGAGCAGAACGTCTGCTGTGGTCAGCAGCAGGGAGGCTGCAACCAGCAGGCTGGCGGCTGAGAGGCCCTGTGGATGGGATGAGGCAGCTGCACTCGGGACCTCAGACATGGACACCGGGGAGGACACATGTCCAGGGGACTCCGGTGCCAGCATGAATTGACATTAGCTGGGATTAGGTGGACGCTTTTTCCTCCTAAGCTGCTGGCTCTCTCTCTCTTGCCTTAGTGTTTATAGCTCTTAGTTACCTCCACATCCTGCTCCAATTTACATGGGGATAGGGTGAGACTTGGATGGACGGAAAGTCACTTCGGATACCTCATGAACAGGGGACTTAAAAGAGAAAGGATAGTCACTGGTATAAAAATAAAGATATATTTTACACACCTGAGCTTGTGGCCTCAGAGTTACACCAGCTCCAGGATGCAGAGGGCAGTTTCAGTTCCCTTTTGGGTTCCTGTTCTAGACCAGAGGTTGCTAAACTCAGGTGCCACCTGAGGAATTTAACATACCCATGTCTGCGTCTCATCCCAAGAAACTGTCAGTTTCGTAGATCTGGAGAGAGGCCTGGGTTTTGTAATCTGCAAAACTCTCCAGGTAATCTTAATGTGCAGGCCATTATGTGGCTGCATCACTGTTCCAGAACATTCTGGTGGTCCGTCAATACATCAGTGGTGATGTGCATTTCCACACATTTTTAACCAAGGCTACTTATTCCAGTTTTGTACCAAAAAAATCCAAATACAACTTTGAAGTTAAAACTTTCTATTGTGGGAAAATCATGTCCAAAACCAAGCAAAAATTAAAAAATAACCTGTTTTCCTGTAGCCTATAACCAATAACTCTGCAAAATGCTTATCATATAAATTATACTATACAGAAATTGTTTTTTAATTACACAGAATTACATGGTCATATGCATGAATGTGGGTGTGTACATCTATATTTTTAAGTGAAAAGTCTTGTCTGTACTATTTTAGGTAGGGTGTCCTGGTACCTCTTTCCCATAAGTAGCTGCTAAACAAAGCAAGGCTTAACGCATTTCTTCTTTTTTTTTCTTTTTGTCTTTTTCCTTTTTATCAGTACGGGGGATCAAACTCACAACTGCCTGCTTGCCAGGCAGGCGCTTATGCCGCTGAGCTAAATCCCCAGGCCCAACACATTTCTTCTGTGTCCACACAAAAGCCTTATTTTATTCTTAGAGTTACATAGATAGCTAATCAAGAAACCCTCTTCTAAGGATTTTAAACCTCTCTCTTTTCCCTGTTATCCTCGTTCAGATCTACATTCCATACCTGGAATCCTGCACTAGTTTTCTCACTGTTTTCCTCCATCTTGACTTCTGGTCCATTCTTTTCAGACCTGCTAGAGTGATCTTCATGAAATGTGACATGATCATACCTGTTGATGATGCTGCAAAGATTCCCATAGCCCTTGAGATGCAGCCTACGCTTGTTAACTTGCCGTGGAAGTTTCTTCCTGTTCTAACCACTGCTTGACCAGCAAACTGCTCACCTACCCACCCCGCACCTAAGCTCCAGCCCTAGGAGCTTCAGTTTCTGAGAAGCCACAAGTCATGAGTGTCCCTCCACCCCAGGTTTGGCATCCATTTAAACAAGGAGACTTTGGGGAGTGTGTTCCTGGATTGTTAAAGTACTGATCACCACCCGTATTCTAGTACCTGGGGCTTCTTTTATCACAACATGTCACCCTGCAAGCCCTGTTCTCTGTCCCTTGCCTGCATTACTCACAGTGTTGTGAACAGGCTGAGGGTAAGTTTTGCCACTTTGCACATCCTTACTCTCCAGCACGGCATGCAAAAGATTTCAGAATTATCCTTGCTGCACAGGTGCAGGAGTGACGGCCATGCCTCACTCCTTGTCCTACTCATACCTCACAGTTCCTGTTGAACTAGAAAGCTCTCCGGATAAAATCAGAGGAGTCATACACAGAACAGCTGTGTGAAAACATAGATGCGTATGTGCTCTGTGATTAAAGTTGATATCACCAATTTGATTAGTTGCTAAATTTGCTTAACATTCTGGGTAGGGAAAACATTTCTGCTCTTCATTTATGGAATTGGTCCCTACATATGAACAGTTTTTATTGGGTTCCAATTAATGCTTTATTAAATTATCTTTATTTGTTTACCTATGAAATTTTCATTGATATCATTGATAACTCTAAATTCTATATTCTTTGGGCAATTGCTAGAAATTTGAGTGTTTATAACAAATTTTGATACAAAATTGAAAATGACCCAAGTGCAAAGCAGCAAATCCTAAAGCTGTATTTCTTTATATGTTTTTATTCTATTGGTTTTAAAACTTAGCATATTCATCAATCTCAGAAATTTTTTCTTCATTTTAGAAAGCATTCTGTGCTATCCATTTCCTCTGGTTGTATCATACAGAAATAAGCATTATATTCCAAAATGTGACAGTGAACTTTAGTGCATGATCCATGTAGCTAGCAGGGTCCTGAAAGGGGATGATGAGAGATTAAGAATAACTTAGACATATATTAAAAGGAAAGCTGGAACCACGTAGGACTTGACCTTTCTGGTGGGGAAGTAGTGACCACCCAGCATGGTTGGCATCTTTATTTACACACAATAAAAATGGGTGAAGTGCAAGACAGGGCTGAAGGTGCAAGGTCTCAGTGTTTTGCTGAGCACAATGAAAACCAAACATTTTTAGAGCTGTCTGTGCTGTAGTTAACAGGAAGGAACACCAAGGCCTGCCCGACTGGCTTTGCTCCAGTCCCAACAACTTGTTTATATGGCTTGCTTCTGGCACAGCTGCTCCCC